GGTCAACTTACGAGATTATTAGAGAATGATTAGAGAAGCAAATCGGTATAAACAAAATTTGAAAGAAAATGAGTGAACGGGGGTTTTCTTATATAGCGAAATTTCTTCGAGGTTTTGATACCCGGAATATTGTTGTGTACTTTCATTTAATTATACTTGTAAAATTGATATTCGGTTAAGAAATTAATTTGAGTAATTTGTCATTGGGTGAGGCCAGGGGGTATGTTCTGTGCAATCAACTAACTTCGGTCTCGCTATGCGTGCCCATTTATCCCGGTAAAAATGGGGTTCCCCTGCAAAACACGCGCGCTTTTGCTATACACGCATACATTTATCAGCCAAAAGGGGTTTCCCAGTAATATGGGATTCCCCGGCACGACAGTCTCTGAGCTGTATGTTAAAATCGGGAGAACGCATCGGTTAAATACCTTCTTCTTTGACCACCTTGGAAGACTGAATCGGAAAAATGTTCTTAATTTTCCATAAGCTGCCGGGGTTAAACCTATTCTACGCTTTATTTCGTGTGTTTGATTGTTTCTTCCAATCCTTATGTCGCGTCCCAGGTATTTGTATAGGCTTACTTGTTCTATGTTATTGTGTCAGTGTAGTAAATTGGATGAGACACTTAAAAAAATGTGCCTGTACCTTTACTGCATATTCACGTCTCATTCAGCACAACCGGATTCAACCGAAAATATTATTTTTCATTAACAACGAACACCCTTAAAAATTGTAGTGGTTTGTGTGCAATATATGGCAACTATATTAAATTTATACTATTTGAGTCACTACATTTTTTCCAAGAAAACTTCATTTTTGTCAATACATTTTATAATGAACCAAATGATATTTTAATCGGAACAATGCTTTGTAAATTTGCTTAAATAATCACGTAACATCAGGTTATATTTACATTGTACACTGAATCCATTTGTAAAATGGGTTTCCTTCCTTTTTTGTTGAAAATAGTTTATGATTCCGTTGAAAAACTTCACATACATCTGCGATTCATTCGGCAGCACTGCACTTTTTACCCAGCTAATGAAGAGCTATGGAACACACATTGCAGCTAAGCTGCAATCTCTCTAGTTGAAGTACGTGGTTTCTGGGTTATAATGGCCAAGACATTAACTTCCGCACCTTCATTTACTACTTTGTCTTCAATTGTTGGCGATATAAAACTTCCATAAGTTTCCAAATTATTGTATAATCTTTTGAATGTTTTCAAGAATGGCTGACAACAGTCAAAATACCTCTCAAAATAGCAATCAGAGGCTCGTCCAACTAATGGAATCTTGGAATAATTCATTTTTACAATGAACCCAACTTAAATTTATAACTAGATCTAGTTACTCTTTCTTATTATGGAAACAATGGATGCCTTCTACTATTTTCCATGGATAACTTCGATCAACTAAATTAATGAAGTAAAAATTATTCGCAGGTACTTCATTTGAGAAAAACCCTAATGATATGATCACTGAAAGCGTAATAAAATGCTCTACTTAATAAAGGCATAATCAGATACCGTTGCCATTTAAAGAACACAAGTTTATGTCATATGGAAAAAATGACAGTTAACTTATCGAAATGTATTATGTCATTTTTTTTAAAAGGCCGTTTCCTACACCTTTTCTATTTAATATTTTCTTGTCAGCTTAATATTGACGGAACTAGACGTTATTTAAAAATCTGCCATAAATTCGTTTTTCATTTAAAGTATCTCCTGATAGCTGTCAAATTTTGAAAAACTTGAATTGGTTTCGAGCAGACCATTCAGAAACTGCAATTCTTTGTACATTTGACATTCTTCGTATCTGATGTAGTTCCGAAGAGTCTTGCACTACTTATATGACTTATCTACTTATCTGACTAATATTTTCTTCGTCTCTAAGTGCCTTGTGTGATCTTTGCTTCTATTATTAATTTGAGAAGCCTGTATTTTTCCTTTTTGGGAATGTGTCCAAAATATTCCAACTTTGAATGCAGCAATGACCATCCATTTGGTTTTTTTGTTTAAATTTAATCCAAATTCTGCACTATTACTCACCACACGGTCAAACAAAGTCTGACGATCTCCCAAGAAGTCCGCGATTATAACGGTGTCGTCAGGGTATTTAAGGTTATTTATGCTTACGCCATTAATGGAAATTCCTTCAGGGCAGTTTTCCATGGCACCTTCGCATATTTTGTCTGAGTGAACGTTAAACAGTTTTATATTGTAATGCATTACATATATGTGTCGAGACAAGACACTGAATGATTGAATACTTGGTCATTGATTGCTCTTGCAAAATTGATATTTTTAGATGTCTGTTTGACGAATATCATATTTTGTCTTTTACTTGCAGATAAATGTGTGCCAGCTCACAAAATAGTTCTTACAGCAAGATCGACACTTTGGAATGAAGAGTTCCTTGAAGGAAAATCGGAGCTGGACTGGTCAGATATAGATTCAGCGGTGGCAACTGGAATTATTTTATGGTTGTATAAGGTATTATGTGATGCGAATTGCAATATATTGTATCTAAAAGCATTTGTCTATTTTAGAGCGACATTAGACTGGTATCCGACGAAATAACTTTGCAACTAATAAAAAAAGCATATGAGTTTAAATTGGACAGTCTCGTCGAGTACTGCGAACAATATCTCATATCGGCAGTGAATATTCGAAACTGCGTCAAGTTTTATAGTGTTGCTGAGGAAATCCATGCCTCTGGTTTAAGGGAATATTGTTCTGGTAATAAAAACGTACATTCGTCAAGTGAATATAAATTAACTGTAATGTCTTTTAGGTCTCATTTCTGCACATTGGGATGACCTGAATTCATCCGACTTTGAACACATGAGTGGTCCCTTACTGCATCAGATGCTGAAGAGCAAAACTCATTTACCTTTGCATAGTGCAGTGCGGCTTCAAAGAGAAGATGTTGTTTTTTTATGCTTGGTGGAAAATTCAAACAGGGTAAGTCGATATTTTTTACATTCCTATTTTATGCATTCATGTAAGTGATATACAGGGTGGGTTTTTAGTGCGATAGAGTCCATTATTTTCTATGGTGTTGAACTTTCGAAAAATAGTTTCATATCAAAGTTGTTGACGCACAAAGTGCGCACATTTTAAAAATATCTTATATCATACAGAGTGTCTCAGAAAAGCGAGGCAAGATCAAAGTGTATTTTTTAAATAGAACTAGAACTTTTTTCTTACTTGCGACGTTGGCAGATTAGCGCCATTTTAGTAAAATTTTGGTTAAAAACATGGTATCTAAAAATTCATTGTAGAAGCAAAAACTAACAGTTAGTGATACAAAAAAATACGTCTTTCCAATCACCACATATCCGGTAAGAATTCTATTGAACCAAAATATCAACACAGTGTACAGGGTGTTAACCATGTGGACTTAAAACTAAATCTTTTTAACGCAATATAACTTTTGTTTTTCAAACGGAAGTACCTGTATATTAATACGTCATTAGATAGACAATTTTAAAAGTTACAAATTTGCATTTACACTTTAAGCTGTTAAATCAACCGTTTTCATAGCTTATATATAGCCGTATATAGAATACCCGGCATAACGCGCGCCATTTGAAATTTACACGTTTGGTACATTACACAAATGAAAGATGATTGTTAATATAATAAGCGGGATAAAAATAAATAATAAGGAGTAAGCGGAAAAAAACTATCAATTGTTTTTTCTTTCCAAAAAATGTATCTACGGGCTTACTGGAGATTTTGCTGTCAACAAGCAAAGCAAATCGTGCACATGATAAGCAGACGCTTGTGTGCGCGTGTGTGTATATTCGTAGGGAAGGGTGCGTGACGTTAAATTTTATCCTTCACTGTTTAAGTCAGTCACAAGTATATGGGTACTTTCTTAATTCACAAACGTAATTTAATAGTTAAATTGTGACATTCAGAAGTTCGGATCTTTTAACTTTTACCAATTAAATATTAATGAACCGGAATGTTCTCGTTCCGCGCATGCGGCCCATCCATATAAACATATGATTTCTGCCATATGTCGCTAACGCCTAAGCGGCCTAAAGCAGGGTCCACACTTGATAGCATGTAGCACAACATTGTCATATAACATTTTTTTAATGCTAGATGTGGAAATAACTGAATTTTGTCCACACTTAAGTTAGTGATATGAACTCGTGGGGTGAAACAGAAGCGCTGCTTGCTGCAGCGACGTACGTTATTATTTTTGAGGACGAAAAAAAAAGATGAAAAATCGAAAAATAAGATTTTGGATTCGTCTTTTCCAGAAACATATATAGTGGAAGTATTTTTTTACATTATCTTATTACAGATGATAGTGGGTTTTAAATCATGGCCTAGCATTTAAGGGGAGCTTTCAACATTTTTGTAGAATCAGTGATGCAGATTTTGAATCTCTATTAACCCTAATTGGTCCAAAATACACAAAATGGACACACGATTGAGAGATGCAGTACCCATCTTGGAACGTCTGGCAGTGACTTTACGGTTTTTGGCTAGCAGAGACTCGTATCCAAGCTTAATGTACCTGTTTAAAATTTCTAAACAATTAATATCACTAATTGTACCTGAAGTTTCAATTTAAATACTGGACTACGGGTATCCCATAATTCTACACGTTTTCTCCATAATTCTATTAGTTTCAAAATACTTTCTTTATTTCACTGATCATTTTCTAACTCCATCTTGTACAGAAAACTAGGAAAACTGCATGACCGCCACTGATGTATACTATACGTTTGCTAACAATGAAAACCGCATATTGCAAGTCTGGACGTGTTGCTACATGTTACAATAAGATTGTTGTACGATTTTCTTTGATCTTTACCGACAAAGGATGGATAGCATGTAACATGTTATATAGTAGGAAAATTTGCTAGATTTCATTATGAAATAATTAAAATGATATGTAACTTGGCTATAAAGCAGCGATATATAGCAAGTCTAGACCCTGCCTAATACAAAAAAAATAAGAATTTGACGCCAGTGCGACAGATACGAACCGTTATTTGATTCTTTGATCTAAACACAAGCCGGGTTATTTCATGATAAGGATTGTTCAGGTTTTATTGGGACACGAGGTTGTTCCAGCGTAATAATTTAAATTAAAGAAGAAAATTATGGAGACATCAAACGATATGGGAATCGGAAAACTGTTGGACTTGATGGATAAGCCAGTTTACTTATGAGACAAAAAAACCCTCAATTTAAATACTTAATAACCGTTGAGAACTCGCGGAACAGTATTGCAATTTCAGTGGGGACATAATTATTTACCATATCTGTCGGTGAATGTTTAAGTGGACTGTATTTTTGTATTATTTTCTTCTTCGTGCGCGTTCCTATCTGAGATGGCACTTCCAACACCGACTTAAGTATATGAATGCACCCAACCGACGAATTAAAACCCGATTCTCGGCAAAATTAAAATGTATATTGCTCAGAACGTTATTTCTACACACGTCTTGTTTGTTTTTCTTTCAATTATCTTAGTTACTAGAAACAAATACAACTTGAAATAAAAAACTAATTGTCACATCGCCCCCTAGACTAACTTATGTGGTTGGCAGAAGAGACAAATAGATCTTGTTTACTCATTTCCCAACAATATCCTTTAATAAGGTGGCAAAATGCCTTCTGTGGCTTTTTTTCGATTCGTGGTGCGAACACCAGAACGCCTACACCTACGACACCTGTTAAGCTGACCCATCCTTAATCAGGTTAAATTTTAAGAATTAAGCACTACGGCGTTGGGTAGACCCGCACTTACTTAAAAGTACCGCTAGCGAACCTACGAACAAACTTACGAACCACACTGTCCTTTGCTATGCCCCAACACATAAAAAGTGTGCGCCGTATCGGTATCGCTGTGTAAGCACCGGAAAATCTACTGTGCTACCCAGGCCTTGGTATAGGTTGTATAGCGCAATAATATACACATGAAGGGTTTGGTATGATTTAAATGTACATTTAAATTTATTCCATTTTTTTTATTGTTACATTATGCGTTCAACATAACTGATAATGTGTACTTTGTCATTTTCAAGATAACACGATACCAACAAATGCTGTACTGGTAGTGATTGCCTTGCGTCAAAGCAATCGCATATATAGAAACTAATAATAATATAAACCTGATTATCTACTTAAGTTATCTACATAATTTTTACTATATTCTTTTGTATTTTTATATGCACTTTGTCTTTTAATTTATTTAATAATTATCAGGAAAACATTTATTATAAGAACATAAAGCCAACAGCCTGATGTACAGCTAGAGAATTTAATAGAATTGTAAAAAGTCCAAATTCGAATACAGTTTTGCCTGAATTACACAATTCGCCTCTACAATAGCAGTGTTCTACATAAGCTGTTCTCAGACCTTTATCTTCATTTGCCTTACACCCTTCTTCATATGGTTCTTCCACTCTGGTTTCAGGATGCCATTTACCATTACTTAAACGTTGCGTGTCAAGTTTTTGGGACGCACAATCTCTTTCAGTACCATTTATTGACACTGAAAATTATTTTGTCGATTAATAATGTCTATATGAATTAAAAGTATTATTTCAGTTATAAGATCCACCCTATGATAATAAATGCCCTGAAAAGCCTTACCTCCGTTAATAATAGCGTACGTGTTCTTTTTTACACAAAACGTCGAGTAAGGGCAATCTACTATGAATCTGTTAGAATGGTCAAAATCTTTACAAAAAGATGATTCATTGGTGAAGTAAATGTATGGAGCAAATGCGCATTTATAACATTCGATGGCTTCTGATCCAAGGAAATCTGAAAAATAAATATAAACATGTATAAAAAAACGCAGTTGATACTAGATTTTATGAATACGCGGTTTGTTATATTTTTGTTTGTTTTACGGGTAGGCTGGTACTACCGGTAGGCTAAACAACATATTGTGTGAAAAAGTCAACATAAAAAAGATCATTTAGCTGATGAGTTATAAATTCGTCATTCAATCAGTTAAGAAGAATTTAATATCTCAAAATTTGGTTTTGCAATTGAGTCCCCAAAGCAGTAACCTGCATATCAATGTGAACGTTCGTTACAAGCATTTGACCACCGAAATGCATAATTCATCACAGAACTGCTCCAGTTAACCTTAGAACCTCATTTCACAACATCGCTTTGCATTATTTACAAGAGCGTTTGGCTCTCTTATAATCTTTGGTTAGATTAATAGTTTTTAAGTTACCAATAAACTACATTAAAATATTACTGATAGGAAAGTGGACAATTCGTTTTCAGGAGCTAATATATTCAAGAAATAAACTTATTTTTTTTAAACATGTTTCCGTACCTACGAAGTAATTTGCAGTACATCTTAAAAGAAATAACGCAACTTTTGAATCATCGTCCAATATACCTACCCGTTTAGCAGACGAGAAGCAAAGACAGACCATTAGCAGACGAGGGATAATTAGTTTGAAATCCATTAGGACCTTAAGCGTGACTTCCCAAAAAAAAWTGCTASACATTTGTGTTTGAAAATAAGTAAATATTGTGCTRTTAATGATATTGAAATCATAGTTTGTGGTCACAAATWTAACTTTTTTATATCTGAATTACATTTATCTTTAATTACCGCACTTGTGCGGTAATAAACATCATTATGACATTTGAAGGAGTGCCAAATCATAGTCATTGTATAACAGTTGTAGATAAAAGTAATTTTTCATACACTAACGCCTGCTCAATTGAGCCTAAAAATAAGGGAYCCCTTAATAAACAAGAGCTTAAAGTTGCCATTTACACATCTCGGCGGTTGCCATTTACATTGTGTTCTTGCGTCTGGTGTAGCTAAASGATCTGTTTGGTAATAATTGATTTCCGTTCTYGGAATCMTAACCTAACTATTTTTTAATTATTGTTTTTCATAACTAGTTTCGTGTGTCCTTTATCATTACAGCTTCAAGTGCTTCTCACATTTTTTTAAATTTAACGGTACATTTCTAATATACACTTTTTGCTTGAATTTACTGTATGAAAAGACATAGAATATAAGTATAGTAATGAAAATATAATAATGTAACTTTTTAATAAATATACGCTAAACTGAACTTTTGTCATTTTACTCTCCGGGTACTTTTTTACTTTATTTTTTCTACATTCATATATTTCTGTTCCCTTAAAACTTGCTTATTTTAAGCAATTTAAATTTGTAATTAAGCAAGTCTTTTTCCATGCTTTTCTTACTATGGCTAAACTAAAATATTTTCAATTCCTGCGCTCTTACGTTGATAAATTCCGGCCATGCTCAGTTAACCAAACAGCAATAAGTATGTATTTAATAACAAAATAGAACCCAAACTGACTCGTATAAGAAATATAATATAGAAAACAGCGAAGAGAAAACCAAACTAGTTTTCAATTTAAGCGTAGAATTTAAATTTAAGACTCGTACACTAAACGCTCAGGTCGCTATCCCACTGGGCCAGAGCTGGGTAATGTTCAATGGTCGCTACCGCAGATTACAGAGGTTGCTGTGGAAGCGCCTCAACTGGAAATGGAAATTGCATATGTGATAAACTGATAACAGAGACAAGGGATAGTCAATACTTGTCTCAGTTTGATAATATGTCAGATTAGACTTTAAAAAGCCTGTTTCAGGCACTAAATAGATAGAAAAGGTAAAATTATTAGAAGTTATTCGGAAGGATGTCCGAATATTGCGACAATAAATAGTTGGAGCGCGATTTACGGCTGTGGAACTTTTTAATTTTCTATAATTAATTTAGTTTTCCTTCAAAAATTGGAAAAACGGACAGCTTTATTAAGGACTCATCCCATTTTGTTCAGAGGTTGCACTCGTTGTCGCCCGGGGAAATCCTTGTGAGTTTTGATGTGGTTTCATTGTTCACAATGGTACC